ACGCTTAACCGACTGCGCCACCCAGGCGCCCCTATTAAAAATTTTTTAATGTTTTATTTATTCTTGAGAGAGAGAGAGAGAGAGAGAGAGAGAGAGTCAGAGCATGAGCTAGGGAGGGGCAGAGAGAGAACGGGACACAGAATACCAAGCAGGCTCCAGGCTCTGAGCTGTCAGCACAGAGCCAGACGCAGGGCTTGAACCCACAAGTGGTGAGATCATGACCTGAGCTGAAGTCAGATGCTCAATCTACTGAGCCACCCAGGCGCCCCAAGTTGTAGCCCATTTAAAAGTTAACTCATCTCGGGTGCCTAGATGGCTTAGACAGTTAAGCCTCTGACTCTTGACTCTGGCCTGGGTCATGATCTTGAAGTTCATGGGATTGAGCCCCGTGTAGGGCTCTGTGCTGACAATGCAGAACCTGCTTGGGATTCTCTCTCTCCCTCTCTCTCTGCCCCTTCTCTGGTCATAAATGTACGCATACCCTCTCTCAAAAATAAATAAACATTTAAAAAAGAACGATGGCAGGCACATCTATACGTTAAAGTGACAAACCATACTGAGCAAATAAAAGAGTGGACTTTATTTGGGAGTGATGCAAACAAACTATTAAACATTTATGAAATGGAGAGATGAACACTGGATTGTATTAATATTAAAAGAATTGTTATTAAATTTTTTAGGTGTGATAATGGTATTGTGATTATGTTTAAAATGTCCTTGTGTTATAGAGATTTATATTGTAATATTTAACAGTGAAATTATATCAGGATATGCTTCAAAATATTATGGGAGAGAGGAGTGGGTAAGGGTAAAGATGGCCCCATGAGTTGGTAAGTGCTGAAGTAGGGTAATTGGAGTTATTTTAACCTTTTTTTTACTTTTACTATGTTTGAAATTTTCCACAATTAAAAGTTAAAAAATAAAAGGTTAGTACAAAAATCAGCTGTGTTTCTATACACTAACAATGGACTATCTGAAAAAAATTAAGAACACCACCAATCCCATTTTCAACTGCATCAAAAAGAATAATTAGGAATAAATTTAGCCAAGGAAGTGAAAGATCTGTACACTGAAAACGGTAAGAATTGATGAAAGAAACTGAAGAACACAAGTATGTGGAAAGATATTCTGTGCCCGTAGATGAGAAGAATAAATATTATTAAAATGTTCATACTACCCCAAGCAATGCACAGATTCAATGCAATCCCTGTCAAAATTCCAGTGGCATTCATCATAGAAATAGAACAAACAATCCTAAAGCTCCTATGGGACTCCAAGTTCCCTGAATAGCCAAAGCAATCTTGAGAAATAACAAAGCTGGAGGCATCACACGTCCTGATTTCAAACCAGGTCACAAAGTTACAGTAATCAAAACAGTATGGTACTGGCATAAAAACGCACATAGATCAATGGAACAGAACAGAGTCCAGAAATAAACTCATTCATAGTCAGTTTACAGTAAAAGGAAGCAAGAATATGCAATGGGGAAATGACAGTCTCTTCAATAAATGGTGTCGGGAAAAACAGCCACATGCAAAAAAGAGAAACTGGACTCTATCTTATATTATACATAAAAATCAACTCAAAATGCGGTGCCTGGGTGGCTCAGTGGTTAAGTGTCTGACTCTTGATTTTGACTCAGGTCATGCTCGCACAGTTTGTGAGTTCAAGCCCCATGCTGGGCTCTGCGCTGACAGTACAGAGCCTGCTTGAGATTCTCTTTCCTTCTCTCTCTGCACCCCCTCCCCCAACCCAAAACAAATAAACTTAAAAAAATATCAACTCAAATTGGAGTAAAGACTTGAACGTTAAGACCTGAAACCATAAAGGGTAAGCATCTTGACACTTGTTTGGTCAATGAATTATTTGGATTTGACACCAAAAGCAAAGGTAACAAAAGCGAGAAATAAACGAGTAGAGGCATATTAAAGTAAAAGCTGCACAGCAAAGGAAACCATCAATAAAATGAAAAGGAAACTTACGAAGTGGGAGAAAATATTTGCAAATTATATATCTGATAAAAGGTTAATATCCAAAATACATAAAGAATTCATACAACTCAATAGCAAAAAACAAAACAAAACAAAACCCAACAATGACCAAAAACTAAAACAAACACCAAATAATCCTATTAAAAATGAGCAGAAGAGGGTCATGTGGCCGGCTCAGATGGTACAGCATGTGACTCTTGATCCTGGGGTTGTGAGTTTGAGCCCCATGTTGGGTGTAGACTTTACTTTAAAAAAAAAAATGAGCAGAGGAACTGAATAGACATTTTTCCCAAAGACATGCAAACTGGCCAAGAGGCCCATAAAAAGGTGCTCACCATCACTGATCATTAAGGAAATGCAACTCAAAACCACATTGAGACATCACCTCATCTCTGTTAGAAAGGCTATTATCAAAAAGACAAAAGATAACAAATGCTGGAGAAAAAGGAACCCTTATGTACTGTTGGTATGAATGCAAATTGGTGCAACCACTATGGAAAACAGTGGTTTTCCTCTTCAACATGAGGGTGCATGTATCTTTTCAAGAGAGTGATTTAATTTTTATTGGATATATGCCTGGAAGTGGGATTGTTGGATCACATGGTAGTTCTATTTTAAATTTTTTGAGGACTTCAATATACTTCCTAATAGACTAGTACTAGTATAGTTCACTGTCCATATTAAAAAAAAAAAAGATCCTTACCTCCTATCATATACAAAAAAAAATTAAAAACTAAAGGCAAAGGGACACCTGGGTGGTTCAGTCAGTTAAGCCTCCAACTTTGGCTCAGGTCATGATCTCACAGCTCTTATGGGTTCCAGCCCCACGTCAGATGCTGATGTCAGTGCAGATGAGATGAGGGGAGGGGAGGGGGGGGAAGAGGAGAGGAGAGGAGAGGAGAGGAGAGGAGGGAAGGGAAGGGAAGGGAAGGGAAGGGAAGGGAAGGGAAGAGGAGATAGCACCGCACACTAACCATAAAAGGAAAAGACCAATAATTATGACTATATTAAAATTAAGAACTTTTGTGCATTAAAAACATCATTTTAGAGAATAAAAAGGCATGCCACAAAGAGGCTGATACTCAGAATATAAAAATACCTCTTACAAATCAGTGAGGGTAAACAATCCAGTAGAAAGACAATGAATTTTATAACAGATGATATTCACATGGCCAATAAAGATGCACACCCCCAACAGTAATCAAGGAATGCAAATTAAACCTCAACGAGAATACCACTCCACATTCACCAGATAGGCTACATCATACAAACTGATGATAAGACGTGTCAGGAGGATATGGAACAACAGGAACTCTCATACATTGGTGGAGGGGGTTTCACTTGGCAGAGCTACTTTGGAAAACAGTTTGATCTTATTTACTTAAGTTGAAGATATGCTTATCCATGACCCAGCAATTCCATTTCCAAGTATATACCCTAGAATTGCATGCACATATGGACCGAAGGTCATGCACATGAATATTTATAGCAGCATTATTTGTAGTAGCCCTAAACTGGAAACAACTCAAAAGTCCATCAACTGTAGGATGGGTATTCACACAATGGAATAATACGCACAATTAGAATGATGGAACAGCTGTTAAACTCATCCACAGGGATGAATCCTACAGACACAAGGTTAATCAAAAGAAGCCAGATAACAAGACATCCAGATGGCCAACCAACACATGAAAAAATGCTCAACATCACTCATCATCAGGGAAATACAAATCAAAACCACAATGAGATACCACCTCACACTTGTCAGAATGGCTAACATTAACAACTCAGGCAACAACAGATGTTGGTGATGTGAGAAAGAGGATCTCTTTTGCATTGTTGGTGGAAATGCAAGCTGGTGAAGCCACTCTGGAAAACAGCATGGAGGTTCCTCAAAGAACTAAAAATAGAACTACCCTACGACTCAGCAATTGCACTACTAGGTATTTATCCAAGGGATACAGTTGTGCTGTTTTGAAGGGACACATGCACCCCCATGTTTATAGCAGCATGATCAACAATAGCCAAAGTATGGAAAGAGCCCAGATGTCCATCAATGGATGAATGGATAAAGAAGTATTACTTGGAGTATTACTTGGCAATCAAAAAGAATTAAATCTTGCCATTTGCAACTACGTGGATGGAACTGGAGAGTATTATGCTAAGTGATATTAGTCACTCAGAGAAAGACAAAAATCATATGACTTCACTCGTATGAAGACTTTAAGAGACAAAACAGATGAACCTAAGGGAAGGAAACAAAAATAATATAAAAACAGGGAGGGGGACAAAACAGAAGAGACTCATAAATATGGAGAACAAACTGAGGGTTACTGGAGGGTTGTGGGAGGGGGAATGGGCTAAATGGGTAAGGGGCACTAAGGAATCTACTCCTGAAATCATTGCTTCACTATATGCTAACTAATTTGGATGTAAATTTTAAAAAAATAAAAAATAAAGTTAAAAAAAAGAAGTAATTATAATGAAAAGTAATATATTTGGCTACAAAAAAAAGAAGCCAGATAAAATATATGTCTACACACTGCACATGAGTCCATCTATAACAAGCTTAAAACCAGACAAAGCTGAACTATACTGTTTAGGAATAAATGGGTAGGATGTAAAACTATAAAGAAAAACAGGTAAATGAACACCATAATGGTCAAGACAGTGGTTACCTTTCATGGGGGTGGGAAGGGAACAGTGACAGAAGGTGGCCTGATGGAGACTTTTCAAGGTGTTGGTGGCATTGTCTCCACCGCTGTGATGTTTCCATTCCATTCCAATGTGGCTTACGTAAGCATTCACTTTGTGATAATTCATTTTATTTTGACCACACTTCTCTATATGTGTGTTATATTTAAGACAATTTTTTTTTATTTTTTTTAAATGTTTCTTTACTTTCGAGAGATAGGGAAGAGCACGAGCAGGGGAGGGGCAGAGAGAGAGACACAGAATCCACAGCAGGCTCCAGGCTCTGAGCTGTCAGCACAGGGCCCGACGCGGGGCTCGAACTCACCAACCATGAGATCATGACCTGAGCCGAAGCCGGACGCTCAACCGACTGAACCACCCAGGCGCCCCTTAAAACAACTTTTTAAGTTAACCCAGAGTAGCTCTTGTGTTTGACTTAAAACAAACAAAAAGACCTGCCCTTCAGAATAACACAAGAACGAGCCCATGGCACCACCACAACTTTGGATTCATGTGCACTATGGAATTTTTCTCACTTTATAAAAAGATACAAAAATAGGATGGCATAGTATATGAATATTGTCTTTTAATACGAATGACGACTCCAACACTCTTAAAGGCAATCTGTTTTCATTTGTCAGTGCCCTGTCTTTTCCACAGGTACTATTTCTCCCATCTCACCTCTTCAATGGGGAGGTCCTGGAGCTGCGGTAAGGAGCAAGACAGGATTCCAATAAGGAACGGAGTGGGTGAGCACACGATGTCGATCATAGATGCTGGTAGGACTGGGATGTAGGTATGCTGCCAGGTGAACGGATACAGTGTGGCAACCACAGCATGGCCACATTTTGACAGGGTGCTGGCCAGAGAAGAAAGCAGAAACAGTGTGACGCATTCAACACGTGGAGAATGGTTCAGATAGGATGTTACAGAATTACCTGACACCGGTTAGTGATCACAGATGAGCGATTCTGTGAGGACTCATTAATTTTTGACATTTTGTTTACATTTTTAACTTAATTCACAGAAAAGTTTTAGTCTTAACCAGCTTTTCCCCACAATTTATATTGCTCAAAGTTAATGTGTACTTAGATAAAGGAATGCCAACTAATTTCTTGTTTGAGTATAGTTGACACGCTATACTGATGTTACCTTAGTTTCAGGTGTCACCAATGTGACACTGGTTTCAGGTGTAAACATAGTGACTCCAAGTCTCTCCACATTATACTATGCTCACAAGTGTTGCGACCACCTGTCACCTTAGCATTACAGTATCATGGACGATATTCCCTATGGTGTACCTTTTATCCCATGACTTATTCATTCCAGCAGTATGAACCTTTAACAACGGTTTAAGTAAAACACATTTAGAAAGATAAATTCACTGCAATCCCAAAGTGATGGCTATAGCCTAATGCAAAATAGCTCTGGATTACTGACCATTTGGAATTATCCACGTCACTATGGCATTAGGTAACTGAGATCCTACGGTTTTTGTAAATGCCCAAATTTTAAAATAGCGAAAACAAGTGAAATACCAGTAGGAAGTGACATATTTTACAAATTTCTCACCTTAGGCTGTTGGCAACAAAGATTACCCTCCGTTCCAAAAGGAGGGAGGCACAGACCCGGATGAGATTGCACACACTCAGGCACTTAAAGAGACATTCAAAGTCAACATGTTCTAGTCGGGAATCCAGTGGTCGGCAGAGTTCAATAGACTGAAATGAAAGAATTCGAATCAGGGGAGTTCAGGTTGGAAAACAATCTATAATGACACCATTAATGGATCCTGTCATTCTTTTACAGGGGAAATTCAGGAAAAAGGTTTTGCTACAGTTTGTGAAGCTGTCTACAACTACTCCCAAGACCTAACACCTAATTATTTCTTTTAAGGATTTTATTTTTTTTAAATAATCTCTATACCCAACATGGGGCTCAAAATCATAACCTTGAGTTCAAGAGTCACGTGCTCTATTGACTGGACCAGCCAGTGCCCCCTAATAACTTCTTTTCACGCTGTAAGTTTCTGGTAAAACCTTTTATTTTACCAGACAATAGCATGTATAATCATCATTTATCACACTGCTATTGTTACAAACAGGGCTCAGTCTACATAAGGCAGAAAACCTCTAGCTCTTAGACGGCTCGACTATCTCACAACTGGACCAACTCACAATGTCTCACAACTGGCCATTTCACCAGTGATTTTTGGTACTAAAACACATTCTGCACAGTTTATGGAATAGGGAAATCTATGCCCTGAGGCTTCTGGAAATTCTGCCTATTAGTGTAAGGCCTGCTTTTTGGTGGCTATCAAGCCTTTTTCAACATGAGCTAACTTACCCCATCGCCAGCCCCAGGGAGGTAGCTCTTAACTGTGATGGTGCGTCCAGGAGCTGGGAAGGGAGCTTCCATGACACTTCGCATGAATGGGTAAACCAGGGCTGGAGACATTTCCCTTCTCTTCTCCACTTCATCCAGAATCTGCACGTGCAACATATGTTACTTTATTAGGGACTCAGTTCAAACACATAAGGAACTACCAAACTTGGTGCACAAGCTTGAAAATTACACCAACAGATTTTAAGACAGATAAGCTTCCGCAATGAAAAAAAGTTCATTAAAGGCCTCGTATCTCTTGGGGGTATCTTTATATCTCCAAGAAAAGTTACTCAAATCAATCCACTCATTTTTAGAAGAGGAGCTCCTTTCCGCCTCCCTACGGTAGGGGCAGAGAAGGGGACACCGACCATGATATCTTGCAGTTTGGGGTCTGGGAGAGACTCATGAGGCAAGGTAAGCTTCAGGCTACGTTCTCCTTGAAGCTGGGAGGTTTGGCAAGTCAAAATGAGATGACGCAACAACACAGTGACTCCGGTAAACTAGACAAATGTAAACATAGTCTAGTCTAGACGAATGTAAACCTTCAAACTTGTGGCTCTAATCTACTACTGAGAACGCTTCCTAAAGTAGTATGCTAGAGTCCGTGTCACAAGACGTAGCCCAGTGAAATCATCAGAAACAACACGTACTTGGAGCCCAGGAAGCACAGCACCTTTCCCAGGGCTCATTCTGCACTCACCTTGGAAAAAAGGTTGAAGCAGCCCAGGCGGCTAACCATGCAGTACACCTCAGGGAGTCGCTTCCCTTTGCCTTCTGGCTAAAACAAAACACATCAAAGCAAAAATGACGCGGCACAAGTCTTTGTTAATTTGAACTATGAATACTCTCCTAGTACTCTTTAGTACAGAGTAGGAACCAAGGCTAGATTGGAAAATGCTAAAAAAAATGATAGCATGATTATTCCAGGTTTAGTGGCAGCATCTAAACAAGAAGCAAGTAACTCAGAGCTCCCGCGAATGGCTTAATTCACGCCATCCCTTGAATAGGCCCAGGCTGATATTTAACCACTCTGTCATTGGTTTCTTCATCTATTACAAACACACAAGTAATAAAAGAAGTCCATACCCTTCTTATTCTGGGACACTCGTTGCTAACTCCAACCTCGCTCTTATTAGTTAAAGCTAATGCAGCTTCTTTAATCCATGGGTGATTATGCAGCCCTCAAACTCATCTAGAAAAATAGAGTTTCTGAAGTTCCTAGTCTGATTCTATTGTTTCTTTTTTTTTTTTTTAGTAATCTCTACACCCAGCATGGGGCTCGAATTCATGACTTCCAGATCGAGAGTTGCACACTCTTCCGACTGAGCCAGCCAGGTGTCCCTGGTCTCTACTGAGGACTCAATTGCCCAGCCCTGCCTGTAGAACAAGACTGGTACTTACCAAAAGCTTCTTACAGTAACCAAACCAGCGGCTCCCATCTTCACCAGTTAAGACAAAGGAGAATGTTTCACTGAAAAAAAAATAGTCGATAGGTGAGATCTAAACAACTAATTATTACATTCTTCATGGAACAAACTATTTTTTTAAGTTTGTTTGTTTAGAGTAGGGGGGAGAGAGAGAATCCCAAGCAGGCTCCACACAGTGCAGAGCCCGACGTGGGGCTCGAACTCACAAACTGTGAGATCACGACCTGAGCTGAAGTCAGACACTTAACCAACGCAGCCACCCCGGCGCCCCAGAACAAACAATTTAAAATTAGTGTCCAACAGCAGTCATTTTGTGATGTAAGAGGAGGCATTAATACCACATTTATTGCAAGCCACCTTCCTCCTGAGGAAGAATGTCCAGGCCTGAGAATATCTTGCCTGACACTGTATGTGTGAGAGAGAAAGTACAGGATGACCTTCTGATGCCACTGCCTTTTACTTTCTTATTTACCCAGTCTAGCTATTAATAAAGCCTATTTTCCTTTTAGTGAATATCTGATAAAGTCTAACATTTAGGAAAGGTATTTTTCCCTTCCAAATTCTTCTATTTAGTTCCGAGAGGTCCTATGGAACAGTGATTGGCAAAGGGTTATATCCTTAACTATAAAAGTTGCTAGGAAAATTATCAGCTCCTCACCAGAAACATAAGCAAAAGATTTGCAGAGAGGGGCACCTGGGTGACTCAGTTAAGCCTCCGACCTCAGATCAGGTCATGATCTCACAGTTCGTGAGTTCGAGCCCCACATCGGGCTCTCTGCTGTCAGCATAGAGCCCACTTCAGATCCTCTTTCCCCCTCTTTCTCTACTCTCTCTCACTCTTGAGTGCTCTCTCTCTCTCTCTCTCTCAAAAAAACATTAAAAAAAAGATCTGCATAGTTTATAAAAAGAAGACCAAGAATGAAATTCATCTGCATAGTTTATAAAAAGAAGACCAAGAAAGAAATTCATTAATAATCAAAGAAGTCCAAATTTGAGCAGTGAATACATACATCTATATATGGCCAAAAAACAAAGATTGAAAGGGAATATGCCAACATATTTAGTTATTATCTCTGAGTGCCAGAATGCCAGTGACTTATAACTTCCGCTTTTTATTTATTCCTCTGTATTTCCCCAATGTTCCAGAAAAAAAAAAAAAAAAAAAACCATATAACTCATTGGGCAGAAAAGCCAGCTATGGAGCGGCCAGGCCATTATGAAAGAAGCTGCTTGTGCAGTTAGCAGTGCACCTGACAGCTTAAGACCATCAGGATTGATGGTTCAGAGAGGAGAGTGGCCATCAGGCCAAACCGGTTAGGCGAGACAGCAGCTCAGACTGGAGGCAAGGTGAGGCAGAAAGGCAGAGCAGCTACTTAGGCAACAGTCGAGGCTCTCCTCCAGCATGTTATCTGCATGTGACACGGTTCCAGAATCACGAGTTTCAGCCTAAACAGCACGGTCAATAATTACAGTTCTGAACGGAGCAGTTATCTACTTACAAGCAGGATTCAGGGAGGATAACTGTTTATTAATTGAACACAGTTCCCTCGAGATACCAGGAGGAAATTCCTTATCTTCCCTTCTCAATAATGCTCACACCTCCCAATCTGGATCCTCCCTTTGTACAAGTTTCGCAGGGGAACGTACACTCTGGGCTGTGGCTCCCGTCAACTTGAAGGAGAAACAAGGTGCAGACACCACTGTTTTACCTCCTAAGTAGGGTCCCTAAGCCCAAGTCCTTTTTCCTTTTCTGTCCACTTGGTGGCATTTCTGATTGTATATAAAACGGAACTTTCCCCCCCAAGAACTGGCCAACTGCAGAGCTTCTCAAACTCGTTTTCCCTTTGACACTGAAACTATTCCATGTTTTTCTTTTTTGAACTCACATAGGAAATGTTCTAATTCTGTTTCTTCCTTTCCTCCCACTGCATCCTTGACCTGCTACAGTGTCCACATAGCTTTAACTGCTGGCTCTACCCATTTCTCAAACATTCGGATTCTATTTTTGCAGTTCCAAAAATGAGAAATCAGATTAAGGAACCCATTTACCTCTTGAGTTCTGAGGTTGGCACCCAGTCTTTTGAGTCAGGAAAACAAAACTTGGGGATAACTTTGAGCCTCTCTTCGGTGTCTTTGGACTGCTTAAAGCCATGATCACCCTGAAAAATGGAACATTTATAGGTGACTAGTATTCTACGTAAGCAGAGACTATATATACAAAACAGCCTAGTCATGGGAAAAGAGGTCTCTGATAAGCCCAAGTAGTCATCTCAGCACAGTGTTGTGTTGTTTCACACGACAGGAAGGCCAAGGCCAGTAATCACTGAAGATACACTGAGAACACGGTTACTAAGAATAAAGAATCCTATTTTGACATAGAAATGGTTACTTGTGGAGATCCTATAATCTGATGTAAGAGGAGTGACTGAAAATAGTTTCTAGTCTAGAGGTAGAATCGTAATTCAGGATTCACATACTAGTGGAAACCCAATATTTTAATAAATCATGGGACATAAAATAAAAACCTATTCTATAGCACACTGATAGCAAAAGCCCAGTTAGTGCCAGACACTCTCTGATCAATAGTCAAAGGTGTTTTGAATGTTATTTAGAAAAGATACTATTTTGGGGCGCCTGGGTGGCTCAGTCGGTTAAGTGTCCGACTTTGGCTCAGGTCATGATCTCACGGTTCGTGAGTTCAAGTCCCACGTCGGGCTCTGTGCTGACAGCTCAGAGCCTGGAGCCTGTTTCAGATTCTGTGTCTCCCTCTCTCTCTGACCCTCCCCCGTTCATGCTCTGTCTCTCTCTGTCTCAAAAATAAATAAACGTTAAAAAATTTAAAAAAAAAGAAAAAAAAAGAAAAGATACTATTTTTAGAATCTATCCCATATATAATCATTTCCTTTAGCATATAATCTTTGCTAACTAATTACTAGTTTGCAACTTCCTGTGAAATTTTAGCGTGGAAGGCCTTTGTGTGCAAGTCTGGTATCATACTTAAAAGAACAATCTAAATTTAGTTAAACCAAAAGACATTTAAAAATTAGTATGGAAACAAGCAGAAAATAAGTCTATTATAGCCATAGCACCCTCATGTAGCTAATACAAATTAATCCTTTAATTTAATTTCTGAAACAAAACATGCAGCCATTCTGAGTCACCTAGACGTTCATTTAGCTCTTCAGAAACGGAAAAGCATTCTAACAAAAGTTCAGTTGTCTCACCTTCTATTATTTTTACATTGTTAAATGACTCGGAATTGTCTTCATTTATGGTTTTCCACAACGCAATCAAGAGAGACTTGGTCAGCTCTCTCCCTCCTTAACTTATGGGAGCCTAATGCACAAGGATGCTAAGTAATTTGCTTAGAAACATCCCTCAATCCCTGCCAGACTCAGCTGGGTCCTTCTCTGGCTCTGAGCCCGTTAATTCAGGCTTTGTTGAAAAACAACGTTCAACCTCGAGATTTCTGCAAAGGTAAGACTGATTGAAAAATCGGAAAAAAAAATTAAGCTTCTCTTTATGGGAAATTGGACTCTTCAAGACTATCTGCATTACATCATTTTAGACTTCCATGGTTCAGTGTTGTGACACTGTGGCTCTCAGGCTACACTGAAGAATTTTATAAGAAATTAAACAGTTTTGTTTACAGTAGGAATGTTGTTGACCACTTTTTTTTTAAGGTTATTTTTTTCTGAGAGAGAGAGAGAGAGAGAGAGAGAGAAAGAGAGAGAGAGCAAGCGGAGGAGGGGTGGAGAAAGAGAGGGAGAGAGGGAATCCCAAGCAGGTTCCGCACTGCCAGTGCAGAGCCCAATGCGAGGCTCAAACCCACAAATCACAAGATCATGACCTGAGCCAAAGTTAAAACGCTTAACCAACTGAGGCACCCAGGTGCCCTAGCACTTTTTTTTTTTTTCTAATGAGAACTTATGCAGGAAATGTCTCTTAGATTCCATTCCAGTACAGTTGTGCTCCCCTAGCTTTTTTTGGTGAAACACATAAGTCGGGGTTTAAATCTCAAGTTCCTAAAGCATCTGAGCAGATAACTTAAATAAGAGACATGGCCCAAGTATTAAGATGGAGAGTGAGGAGATTCCCTATTTAAAGGGATCACGCCTTACCAAGGCTCATTACATAATTTGCAGAGCACAGTTGCAAGATGAAACTGTGGACCCGTTGTTCAAAAAGCAGGAAAAATTAAATACAAAATAAACTATAAAACTTTTTGTTTTCTTCTGCGGTTTCTCTCTCAATCTACAGTGTGGGGTTTCTGTTTGCTTTTTAATGTTATGCCCTCTCAGGCATAAGACAGAGAAAATCAAATAATATTTGTTAATAATAGCTACCATTTATGAAGTGCTTACTATGTGCCAGGGACTGTGTTAAGCACTTTAAATACATTATCTTATTAAACCCTCACTAATAATGGATAACATTCTATAGTGCTGACTATATGCTAGACACTATTCTAAGTGCCTTATACAGCTCATTTAATCCTCACTGCAACTCAACGGGATAGACATTATTATGATTACCTCCATTTTACAAATGAAGAAACCAAGGCACAGAGCAGTTAAGTAACTGCTCAAAGTCACAGTGCTAATTAGTGGCAAGCGCAGAGAGTTGGCTTAAGAGTCTATGCTCTAAACTGCTACCCTGTTCTGTCATATTTACTGTTTCCCTCATCAAGAATGAGAAAACTGAGGGGCGCCTGGGTGGCTCAGTTGGTTGAGCGTCCGACTTCGGCTCAGGTCATGATCTCACGGTCTGTGAGTTCGAGCCCTGCATTGGACTCTGTGCTGACAGCTCAGAGCCTGGACCCTGCTTCAGATTCTGTGTCTCCCCCTCTCTCTGCCCCTCCCCCGCTCATGCTCTGTCTCTCTGTCAAAAATAAACAAACATTAAAAAAAAAAAAGAATGAGAAAACTGAGGTTTTCAACTTGCTAAAGGGCACTTAGTAAACAGCAGAGCAAAAAAATAAAATAAAATAAACAATTTGGATAATAAGATTTTGCCCTTGTTTGCAGCTCAGGCCAGACGTGAGACATCACCAGAGTCACTTACCAGATCCTACAAAAGGTACAGTATTAGTAAAAGCTGCTTGAGATCACAATAGAAAGAAGAGCAGAGATAAAACACAGAGACACGAGAACACTCCTGGACGCCTCTTGGTCTCCCTGCACCTACCTTGCCAGGGAACTGCTGTATGACCTGGGGAATGTAGCTTATTTCCGATGGCTTCTTCTGGAGGGACACCACCACAAAAAGTTCAAAGAGCTGCTGCTCCTGTAATTCAATAAGATCCCTCTCTAAGGTCTGGTAGTGAGGATTCCTCTTGGAAGACTGCTGGAGCTGGGCTAAGCGCTTGTGGCGGTCTGCAATGAAATCAGGGAGCACTGTTTTTCCTTTGTAGCCCCATCTTCCCTCCAGCACCCAGAGGTCATGACCCATATGGACTAATCTTCACCCAGTCATTGCTGACGGAGTGCTGACTAACCGACGTCTGCCACACAGCCCTGCGAGGGCTATGACATACTTGGGGAACAAGTACAGAGTCTCACAAGTGCCCAGGAGCCCGCGGTGTCCCAACCCACACTCTAGGTGCGTCCCAACACATATTCTGTGCTCTCCCATCTTCTGCGGCGTAACACCAGGATACGTGGAAAACGTCAGGTAAAAGCACTGGCCTGACAACAGATGCCACTGGCTGGTGATGAAATTATGAAACGGGGTTCATGAGTAAACGACTGGGAAGGAATTCTTGAGACGTTTTTGGTGCAAAAATGAGGTTTTATTATAGCATGGGCACAGGACCCGTGGGCAGAAAGAGCTGCACTGGGGTTGTGAGGAGAGACTGATTATATACTTTTGAGTGTGTGGAGGGAGGGGGGAAAGAGATGAACTTAGTTTCTTTTTTTTTTATTATTATTTTTTTAATGTTTGTTTATTTTTGAGACAGAGAGAGACAGAGCATGAACGGGGGAGGGGCAGAGAGAGAGGGAGACACAGAATCGGAAGCAGGCTCCAGGCTCTGAGCCATCAGCCCAGAGCCTGACGCGGGGCTCAAACTCACGAACCGTGAGATCGTGACCTGAGCTGAAGTCGGACGCTCAACCGACTGAGCCACCCAGGCGCCCCAGATGAACTTAGTTTCTGAGGAACTTCCGGATGCTAAAGGCAGGGTCTTCCAGGACCCTGAAGATGTAACTATTCTCAAGATAAGGTTGCTTTTAGGTTTTTTTTTTTAAGTTTTTTAAAAGTTTATTTATTAATTTTGAGGGAAGGGGAGCAGAGAGAGAGGGAGAGCGAGAATCCCAAGCAGGCTCCACACTGCCAGCCCGAAGCCCCATGTGCAGCTCGAACTCACAAACTGTGAGATCATGACCTCAGCCAAAATCAAGAGTCAGACGCTTAACCAACTGAACCACCCAGGTGCCTCTACTTTTAGTTTTTAATAAAACATAAACATTAAGGCAGGAAGGCAGCCATGAATTCCTTGAGGAAGGCCACGCTCTGCATGTTTCAGGTGTCTATCAGTGGGCTGCAGGCTGTAAGGAAATTTACTTTAAGCTGCATTTCTCTTGCCTTTGTTTCCCTCATCATTGGGACCATGAAATCACGTGTGTGTGTGTGTGTGTGTGTGTGTGTGTGTGTGTGTGTGTGTGTG